TTCATGATCTACCCAGACTACAAGAGTTGTTCCTGGGTAAAAACAAGATAACAATGATTCAAGCAGGGACATTTCAAAATCTACCCAGACTAAAAAATTTGTCCCTGTTTAACAACCCGATAAGAATGATCCAGCCTGGTGCATTTCACAATTTACCCCTACTAGAAGAGCTGCAGCTGTACCACAGCAAGATACTGCAGGCTGGTACACTTGCAAATCTACCCCGACTGGAGAGGTTGTTCCTGAAGAATAGCACGATAAGAACAATTCCTTCTGGTACATTTGTAAATCTGCCCCGACTAAAAGAGCTCTGGCTGGAGGACAACCAGTTAGCAAACATTACAGCGGAAACATTCCAAAATCTAACCGGGCTACAAAAATTGCACCTCCACGACAACCAGATAGCAATGATTCCAACCGGTACATTTGCAAATCTTTCCCAACTACAAGAGTTGAAGCTGCACTGCAACCGGATAACTACCATCCAGCCTAACGCATTCGAAAATCTGCCACAGCTCCAAGTTATTGACCTCCAGAGAAACCGATTGTCTGTCATTCTCCCCTCAGCTTTTAGCTTGTTGCCATCTATTCGTACCATAAACCTTACATTTAACCCATTTCAGTGTGACTGTAAGATGGCTCCTTTCAGGCTGAATATCACGAAAATTCCTGCAAGTAAGTTCAGCCAGATAACATGTTCCCAGCCCCCCAAACATCGAGGTAGAAAACTTACAGATATTGATCCTAAAGATATTATTTGTAAAGAGCCAACCGTTTCCCCAACAACTACCACCGTCACCTCTCACTATCACTGGTTCTTTACGCGCAATGCTGGCTCAACAGCAACTGCAGAAAACAAGAACAAAACAAAAGCAACACTAAATACACCCATTGCAGTCACTTCAAACAAAACAAGAGCAACACGAAATACACCACTTGCAGTCACTTCAAACAAATCCCCGAGTCTGCTCCCAGTTTGCCCCCTACGTGTTCTCATCGGCTTAGTCTGTGGTTCAGTAGCTGGAACTGTGCTGATTGGTGCCATCATTTTAACAGTGTGGAACAAGATAAATATCAGGCGTCCTCCTTTAGGGCTGAATCCCAATGTTGTTGTTAGTGGCAACAACACCACAGCTACGAGTGGTGATGGTAACCAGTATGGAAATATTGAAAGCAACCAAGATCAGGCAGGGCAGGGTCAGTCTCAGGCCATCACTGAATCCAGCACAAACACCACAGCTACTGTAATGACCAGTGATCATGATCAGACAGGACAGGGTCAGTCTCAGACCATCACTGAAACCAACACAAACACCACAGCTACTGTAATGGCCAGCGGTGATAACCAGTCAGGGAAGTGTGGGTATCAGTCCCTACTCAAACCCAACACCACATATACTGTAATGACCAGTGGTGATGATCAGACAGGGCAGGGCCAGTCCCTGGACACTAGAAATCTGTCTTATGGCACAGTGCCGACTGCCTCGCAACTAAATACTCTGTACACCACACCTACTGAAATGGCCAGTGGTGATGATCAGAACAGGACAGAGTCAGTCT